TATTAGTTCTTACATTCTTACACACTCTTTTGTTCCACATCAATACCTTAAGTAATCCGTGTTTCATTCCATTTCATTCCGCTCTATTCCTTGCCTTGTATTCTATTGCATTGCTTAATACAATGCAAAGAGAAACCGCTAAAGAGGTCGACGAAAGCAAGCTGCAATCATTTCCGTTTCATTTCCCGCCATCCCCCCGCTCCACGTGCGAGTGCCTCGGGCAGTTGCTTTACAATTTGGTCTAGGGAACGAAATGGAATGGGAATGGTACGCATACCGTTTATTAAGCGCACAATGTGAAGAGGTGGACTACCATAAGGTGGCGGAGGGAGGGGGGAGGGGTCGGGCGCAAGACGCAGAGTAGCAGGACGCCCAGCACTCAGTGGGCTCCACTTCCATTGGCAGTCGCACTTTGTGCGGAACTCTGGGTGAAATTTATGTAATTTATATGGGCACTTGACTGTCTAAATTGCCTGCGGAGAGCAGCCAAACGCCTCTCTCCCCCCCCCCCTCCTGCCACGCCCTGCGCCTGCTGCTGCTGCCACTTTTTATATCATCTACTTAGCCCTAATGGCAAATAATTAATTTCGTGCTTCCGCGTTTCGTGTCGCCGACCGCCATTGGCCCACACGCCCACACGCCCACCGCCCACCGCCCACTGGCCAGCTGGCTGTTACGCCCTAGCTACCCCCGCCCACCCAGCCAACGCCCCCCAACGACCATTTTCAATTTACAAATTGCTTATTTTTCGAAAACCAAATTGCGAGTGCCTTGGACTTGGACCAGAAGCTGAGCAGAGGCACGAGGCAGAGGCACGAGGCAGAGGCAACTGGCAGTTAATGCATTTTACGTGCGGCCCTGGCCGACCAGTCAGCCAGCGAGTCAGCGGGGAGGCGGGAAGGCGGGGAGGCGGGGAGTTAGCCCCGCAAGCCAAAAAGCTGAGCTCGGCGCCCGAGCAGGGACTCGAGCAGGCTTCTCAATTACGGTTATAAATTTGCCCAAGCCAAAATGGCGCAGCTCGAAATGAATAGCCTGCCTGCCTGCGCCGCCCCCCCCCCTCCCTCACACACACACTCGCACACTGCGCAAAATGTTATTAACTTCTTTTAGCCAAGTTGAGCCAAATTACATTGCGGTTGCCACTCAGCAGTCACTTTTATTGAGCTCCTCAGTTATTCTCGGTTATGCGTCTGTCATTAGACGCTGCCCCGCCCACTTTTCGCTGGCGTGTGGCCTGTTGGGTGTGGAGTGCGGGGCGTGCTGTGGGGGGGGGGGGGGGGGGTTGAGTTTATTTATGGTGCGACATTTCAGCGAAATTTCGAGGCATGAAAACAAATTTATTGGCGCCATCAAATTGTTTTTGGGGCTACGCCTCTATTGAGCTCACCCCCCCCCCCCACCCCCCGCACCACGCCCTGTCTTAGCCAAGCCCTTCTCAGTCACCTCCCCCTGCTCCCAGCCTGGTCGGCATGCCGTGGTCCATTTGCCCGTGGTCCACTTGGCCTTTTTATGGCCAACGCATAATTTTCTTGAGAGGACTCGCTCTCTCTCTCTCTCTCTCTCTCTCTCTCTCTCTCGCTCTCCCTCTCTCTCTCTCTCGCTGGGCCATTTACTTGCTGAGCCGCCATTTTTCGACTGAATGGCCAATGCATAAAACGCATAATAAAATAAATGACTAAACAGAATTACGACAAGGACCCGCACTTAAATGGAGTCTTACGTAGAGTTCCACTTGAGCAAAGGTAAATTTGCTGAGCATTTGTTTTTATTTGAGAGCATCGGAATATCAATTGCCTGTCTTAAAATATCAATAAACATATTACGAAAGTATCTTGGAAGAGTGTATATATATATTATATAGAAAAACCTTTTTGGAATTCTTGTACTCTCTGAATTGAGCAAATAATTGGAAAGTTCTGTTTTAAAAGTTAAACATTCTAGATTCCAGTTACTTTTATTATATTCGATTAAAATCGGATGGAAATCGAGAAATTCTCGAAGGTTCAATGTTCAACTAATTTTTAACACATTTCAGACTTACATTCGATTTTGAGACAACTATTTCGAAAAAGTTTACGAAATATCTAGAAATTATATTCTCTATTCTCCACTAGAAGTCAAATAGTTTTTGTTATACAAATGAAATCCCTTTTGAGTAGAATAGTTTCCATAACAAAACTCATATATTTTGATATTACAGATCCTACTCCACGAGATTTACCCACAATTATATCAAAGTAATGTGTAGCAGCTTATCTAAATATCCCCATCATAAAAAAACATTTACAACACTTACTTTTCAACTTTTACAACACCTTCTGAGAACCTAATATAAAAGAATGTAATACAATTAGTTTCTGTATAAAGTAAAACCGTTTCCTAAACCTAAACCTAAACAACTATCGTAAAGAATAATAAATAACAGTTGTATTCCAGTTATTCCAGTTATTAGATTGATCTCCGCTAAAGAGAGCAGCATTGAGCGTAAAGTGACTCGCATACATAACGCCATTTCACAATTATAACAGTTGCTACGATCTATGTAAGTATTGCCGTCTCGTTCGCTCTCGACAAAGTGCAGCTCGCTTAATTTCATTTCGTTCATTTGGCCCACAAAATCAATTAAAAGCGCAATTAATTTGTTTGACAGCCAAAGACAACAAACGCCAGAGTTTTGAGTAAAAGCTCGACGAGAGAGTCGGGGCGAGGCGGGGGCGAACGAAAGGCAAATTAAATGGCGCATAGATGAACAAATTAAGCTCGCGAACGTTGGATAAATAAAGAATAACAGAAACAACAACAACAGCAGCAGCAAAAGCTCTGCCAGCTGCGGCAGCAGAGTCGTTATAATAAAAGTAATTTAATTTTAATGAAATTGTTAATACGAAAACAATTTCATTTTGTAAAAAGTTTCACAGCAGAGCAACAACAATGCTGCAGGGGCGATAGGGCGAGCGGGCAGCAGGGGCGTGGCAGGCAGCGCAAATTGCTCGTGACAATGAGTGAGTGCAAAGGAATACAAAAAGCACACATAAACACGCACTCACACACACACACACACGAACACGAGCAACTTGCACAAACAGAAAAACAATAAACAAAAGCGTGCGAAAAAGAGAAAACCAAAGCCAGGAGTATCAACAACAACAACAACAAGAGAAGCAAAAACATAACCAAAGCACACAGCAAAAGCCATCGGAAGAGCAGCAGCAGCAGCAGCGGCGGCAGCGGCAGCGACAGCGACAGCGGCAACAACAACTGCAAACGGCAAAACGAAAGAAGGAGAAAATACGAAAAATGAAATGCTGATGCGAAGATTTAATAAATGAAATTGGTGTGTGATTAAAAACACAAAAACCAAACGAAATCCATCTAATCAACTTTTGCTGCCGCCATCGTCCTTCTTGCCTCGTCTAACTGCTATGCTTCCACCCCCCCCCCCCCCCCCCCCCCTCCCGTGCGCACACCCACAACCAGAAGCCTTGCAGCTAGCAAGAGCGACGGCGACGGCGACAGCAGCAGCAGCGCTTGCGACCGAGCAGAACCGCAGCGACGCAGCCAGTGGGTGGCTGGCTTGGAACGCCTACTGGCGGCTGCTTCTGCTGGCGGGGTGCAAACAAATACAGGGAAATATTCACAAATGCAGGGAATGCTTGTAGGGAAGATCTTGTCAAGGCTGCGGAGCAGATGTGCAACTTAATACAAAAAGAAATCCCCATGCAAAGAGTTATTGTGAATGTAAGTACTTAACTTTTTTAACATATCTTTGGTTTTCAAGCATATTTGATGTACTTTAACCCAATTCTCCTTAATCGCCCATTTGCACAGTAAAGCCTTTTCCCACTATTAAATTTCCCTACATATGGCTGGTGCTATTTTTGGGCTCCGCCCCTATGTATGTGCATAAAATGGCTGCAACGCTGCGTCTCGCTTGCACTTAAGCACTAAGGTAATTTATAATAAGATTTAAGCATTGGTGCAAAAGAGAAACGTGCACCAACAAAACGAGATATTCCATAGAAGCACAGCTTTTGTCAGTGAGCAATATTACCTTTGCCTTTTTGGGCACATTTCAGTAGAGCTCACAACCAACTGCAGCGTGTACATCAACCAAGTGTGCTTTATAACTGGTTTGTGTGCCAGCTAAAAGTGATATTTCCTTGTGGTGCTAAAAAAAAAACTCAAAAGCTCTGTCAGCACGTATAATGCCAGATATATCGGAAAATAACTTTTATTCTCAACTAATTTTCCACTAGTACAACAGTAAGATTTAAGAATCTTTCGAGCTTCAGCTTTAGTTGTTGTTTCCTCTTGTCTATAATTGAAATCGGTATATTTAGATATTTTCTGGATAACAATGCTTAAATTGCTTCGTGCTGTTCTAAATATGAACTTGACCCATTTAAGTGCTGCCTAATTTAGAATGTTCGTTTAACTTAATTGGTTTTAACTATCAGCTAATTCCCATTAAATGCAACAACCACTCCGTTCCACTTGATTCCACTCGATTTCAATCAGAAAACTCCCGCCCAGCTTTCAATGTGTTAGAGGCTGCTCTAAAATACCAACACACACTCAACTAACAACAGAAAACTACCTGCTGCTCTTCTCTCTCTCCCTCTCTTTGCAACTTTGCCAACATACTCACTCTCTTCTGCGCCAGAGCGTTTATGTTGATGGCCAAATGAATAGAAACGAAAATGATCTCTTGGCCCCTTCAGAGAGTTATTATTGGTTCGCATTTATGACAATATAAAAACGAAAATTTATATATTTAAACAAAATGAAATCTCCCTTTCAATCTCATTTTCAATTAAATTAAATTTTTTCCATTAGTCATATTATGCTTATAAAATTCAAATGAATTCCGCCACTCCAATGTCATTAGCATTACCAAACGCGAGAGCGTTTTCCACTCTGCTCGCACATGCGCTCATCGCCAGTGCTCGGACGACTTTTGGAGCTGCGCTGTTCGCTCAGTTTGTTTCTCGCTTTCGCAGCGAACGCCTCGCACCGCTCAAGTTGAACGCAACGCCGTCTCGCCGCGTGCTCGTTTTTGTTGCTGTCGCTTCTAGTCGAACGTTAGTCGGACGATCTAGCGCATATCGCGCCGTGTGCTCAATTCTAATAACAACAACAACTACAACGAAAACCACAACGTTCTATTCCATATGTGCAGCAATTTAGCATAAAACGTAAATGTTTCGCAAAGTACACATATTCAAGTTGAGCGTTATAAAGTGTAACTAACTGTAAATTGAAAATATAAAAAAAAAATAAATATGAGTAGAAAAAATCATTGAGAGATGAAAAATGCACTTGTCAGCCTCGCGCTGCATGCGAACGAGAGTTGAAAAGGGGGAGAGCGCAACAGAGAGCGATAGAGAGAGCGCGCACGGTCATTTGACATTTTAGTTAGTCGCAGCAGCAAGAAGCACAATAACAACAACAAAGCACGTTCTTCTGAAGTAGAAAATTAATAAATTAAACGTTTGCTGCTTTTGTTTTTTTTTATGTGTGCATTGAAAGCGTGTCAAGAAATCGGCAAGAATTTGATTTTATTTATGCTACAACCTCACCTCTCTACGCTGTTTCCCCTCTTCTAGCTTCCTCTCTCTCTCTTTCTGTTTCGCACATGACGCATTTGCTTCGTTGAGTTGTTGTTGTTGCTGCTGCTGACAATTGGAAAAGCTGCACTTCAACATCAATCAGAGCTTGCAGCCTAGCACTCGCCCTGTCTCGCTCGCACCTGGTAGAATATAAAGAGCAGCTGCCCACGCAGCTGCCTTGGCTGTGAATTTTGCGTCGCATTTTCTTAGCAAATCATTTTCCATTTGAGCCTCACAGCTGCTTTTGTGCTTCTTCTATGCTTCGTTGTATTTTGTAGTTTCACATTCTTTTTGTTGTTATTTCTTTTTCCAATTTGTGCTTCGTTTCTGTCTCGTTTGTTATTTGTGCTGCCCGCGCGCGATTCTATTTTTAGCAGCAATATTTTGTTGTTGCCTTTGCCTGTCAAGTTAACTACGCTACGCTGGCAGCAGCAGCAGCGGCACACAACAACAAAGCACAGCCAATGCAGACAGGCCAACTATGCGAGAGAGAGAATAAGAGTGGGAGCGTGTGGTGATAACAACTGAGAGCGGGAGAGCAAATGCCATGCTACACTTGTTTATGACGCTCCACAACTTATTGCTCTCTTCCTGTCTTCTTTCAGTGCTCACGTTAAGTTGCTGAGCCAAAAAAAAAAAAAACAACAACAACAATAGCATTGTGACAAAGTACCAAAGTGCAGCGACGCTGACTTTGACGTTGGCGTCTCGTCGCCTGCATGCGTGCCTTAATTTTGTGCTTCCTGTGGAGAACGGACAACAACAACAACAAGAACAAGCAGCGGCAATAAAATATATATATGTATGTGAAAGCAACAAGTGGAAACAGCGACGAAAACAACAGCAAAGCCGGCTGAACAGCATCAAGAGGAAGAACGCGCGCGTGAAAGAGTGTAAACGGAAAGCGAGAGAGAGAGAGAGCGAGAGCGAGCCCGCTGCTGGCGCTCTCTGGAGGTTTTTTTTTCTTCAGTTCTTCAACAACTTGTCAAAATGTGAGTATTAATATGCAATTATTGTTTACCGTTGCATGATTTATTATTTTACATGCACACATGCGCACACACACACATGCGCACGCACACATGTACTTTATGCATACACATGCACACATGAAGTGATATTTATGGACTACGCCTACGATTTGCGATTGCACAATCCAATCCAGTGGAAAGTTGACGAGGCTATCGCCATTTCAAGCGCCCTTAAGCCGTGCTGCTCTCTGCATGTGCGCTGTGTGCGTGCGTGTGTGTGTGCTTGTGTGCGTGTTTTTGTGCCCTTGTGCCTTGTGCCTGCATTGAATATTCAATGAAGAAGCTCAGCTTCAAAGCTCACAGAGCTAAAGCCCTTGATGTTGTTGTAACTGTTGTTTTTGTGTCGCTTTTATACCCTGTTCGCAAATGTGCAAGAGAGAGGCTGTAATGAAATTCTGAATTCGTTTGTAACAAGCGGGCGCGAGGCAGATTTTACAAAAGTTTTACAAATGAGAAATAATTGCGGTTTATGCCACGGAATACCACATATGAATATTAGGGATCTTCACCATATCAGGGAAATCTTAGAAAAGGCAAGCACACAAAATTTGTCTATAGGTGCTTATATACTAGAATACATTAGTCAACAAGATATGGTCTTATTTGCCAACGATCGGATGACAAGCATCGATCGAATGTAGAGCTGATAAACAAAAAACAAGCGCGAAACGCAGTTGTACATATCAGGGTCTATTATTAGAATATAAATAACATTAATCGACAAACTTTAAATACATTCGATAAGTTAAATAAGTACCTCTGATGAATATTAATAACTTATTGCGATATGTGCATACCTATAATTGACAATAATTTAAGAATTAAGTTAAGTACTCTATGTATCCCTATATCGATGCACATGAAACGAGATCGTGGAAGAGTTAATGTCTACACATGCTTGTGTGCAGTATAATAGCTTGGAATCGAGTACAGGGTATTTCTAAGTCTGGTCTATGCGACAACATAAGTATGTAAAATTGCAATGGCCCCTCACCATTGCATTTTGTGCGAATTAGTCCATTCCCCCAGTCGAAAAATGTGGGCTTAGGAGTCTAGAAATTTTTGTTACTTATTGGAAAATCCGGGAAAACCCGGAAAATGGAAAATGGAATTGAAAAAAGGCACGGTCTAGCCCGGTTTATAGCGTCTTATTGATTTAATTAGTTGTCAATGCAATTTGCAGTTGATTACAGGGTAGCTGCTAGCTGGTCAGTCTGGCGCTCGCGCCCTTTTACTTGTTGCATATTCATTTCTCTTGCACTCCCCACCCGAAGCCCAGCGCCTGTTCGCGTTGTTTCTATTTTTAGGCTTTTGTCATAAAGTTTAGCAAACAGCGCGGAAAAATATAAATACAAAAACAACAACAACAACAAAAGCAACAAAAACAAAATAAATAAAATAGCTGACAATTTGTGCCATAAAATTATTCAAGTATTTTGCGACGCGTCGACGCCAACGGCGTCGTTTTACAACTGCGCAGCTTTTCAAATCGCAACAACAACAACAACAACAACTAAAACAACACAAAGAACAACAACATCAAGAACAATATCGGGGCTATCGCATGTTTTCTACCACTTGTGAATGCGGCCAATTGAATAACGGTTACTGTTTCAGGCAAGCAAATGGCCGCGTTATTTGGGGCTAATTTGTTTTTTATTAAGCCAACGGAAAGCTGCCCAAGGCAGACTTTTCCTTCAGTTGTATACCCTTTAGAGGGTGTAACAAATATGTCACAAGCTGTGTAACGCCTAGAAGAAGTCGTCGCCGGCTTTATAGAGCTCTGCAAGAGGCCGAAACAATATATTCGGACATCCACTTTTGCATTGGTTATGAAAGAGTTTCTAGAATATACCAGGTATTAGTTTATATTGGGTTATATTAATTTGTTGTAGGGTGTATTAGGTTGTATTAGATTGTATTAGAGTGTATTAGTTTGTATTAGAGTGTATTTTTTTAAGATTATTCTGTATTAGGCTCTATTTTTAGTTTATATTAGGGCGTATTAGTTTCTATTAGAGTGTTTTAGGCTGTATTTGTTTATAATGAGTTATATAATAGTGACAATTTAATGGCTGAACAAATATGCGGACACACACTTTTGAATTGGTTATGAAAGTGTTTCTAGAAAATACCAGGTATTAGTTTGCATTAGAGTGTATTAGAGTGTATTAGGTTGAATTATTCTGTATTAGGCTGTATTAGTTTGCTTAAGGGTGTATTGGTTTGCATTAAGTTATGTAGAAGTTACAATTTTGTAGCTGAACAAAATATGTGGACTAATATACCAGCTATTAGTTTATATTGGGTTATATTCATTTGGTTTAGTTTGTTTTAGGGTTAATTCGGTTGTATTAGGCTGTATTAGTTTGTATTAGCGTGTGCTAGGTTGCATTATTCTGTATTAGTTAATTAGTTTTTATTAATGTATATTAGTTTGTATTAGAGTGTATTACGCTCTATAGGCTTGTATTAGACGGACGACTACTTTTGAATTGATTATAAAAGAGTGCTTAGAACATACCAGTTATTCGATTATATTGGGTTATTTTCATTTGTTATAGCTTGTTTTAGTTTGCTTTTGGCTTAATTAGTTTGTATTAGAGTGTATTAGGTTGTATTATTATGTATTAGGCTTAATTAGTTTGTATTAGTGTATATTAGTTTGTATTGGATTGTATTAGGCTGTATTAGTTTGAATTATGTTGTATATTCGTTACAATTTGTTCTGTCAGAAAGTGGACTTTTTCCCCAGATTCGGTTTGGATTGGATTGGATTGTCTGCTGTCGATTCTGATGTTGATCTCTGCGAATCATCCAGCATTATCTTCACTTATCTAATACGGCGCACTTTCACAAGAATTCGCTTAGCTTTCCTCTACTTTAGGCCAGAGTTTATTTTTGGTTTCTCGCGAAATGAAGATATTCCATACTCTGCTTCATCACGTACCTATGTGTGTACATTTGAATACATTAGATAAGCATTTGAAAGGGGTAAACAGAAAGAAACTTTCACGGCAAATGAACCTTATCTAAATAAACATTCGCGCAATATTTGTGTCCCTACTCAAAACTCGAAATTCGCGCGATATCAATATTTATTTATTGTTTCCACTTATTTATTTGCATAGGGCAAAAAAACAAAATAAAATGTAAATAAATGCAGTTAGATAAGGAGCAATAAAATTACTGCAATATCAGTTATTACGCCAAACTGAAGAAGGGTCAACTTTAAAGCTTACTTATGTTAATGCAAAAAAAAAAAATATATGGAAAATGAAAAAAAAATTCATCAATGATAAAGGTTCTTAAATGAAATCCTTTCTTCTATCCTTTCTTCAACCTATTCCATTCCAAAAACTTAATGATATATCTGAAGCTTTGGACTTATAGGACGAGTATAGATCATAAAAGCTTTTCAAGAATCTTTCAACTTAATTACATTTTCCTTCAGTTTCATGTTTTCAGCTAGGTTTTAGTTGGATTGAGGTAATATTCTTATTCTTTAATAAGGAAGTTTTGTAATATGTATGATTGTATCGGGACTGGGAAATCTCGAGAACTCTGCACTCATATTCAGTTAAACCTCGCTGAGATTCCAACATTGTGAAGGCAATTCTTATTATAAGAATATTTTTCTTTAAATAAGTAGTCTAAATCTTTAATCAAGTCAATTTGCAGTCTTGCAACTATTTACAATAATCTGGCCAGAAATCCGCTTTACAAATATCTGAAGATAGCTTTAAAATAAAAGATACTTTATATATATATATATATGAGATATTTATAGCTTTTATACTTAACTAATGTCATAAGTTGTACTTTGGATATTTCTTAAATCAAGATCTTAAATCTTAATGTTCTTGATTAAAGAAACAAGTATTTCAATATGCATACATATATTAAAGTCTGTAGTTTGCATAGCTCTTGCTATCTCTTTCTCACAAACGATAGTCATGTTCATATCAAGCCAGATGTTCAGCTGCAACAAGGGTAAAACAATTATCTTCATAAAACTTGTATTAACTATTAACATTGTGAATAGATTTATTCAATTCAACAAGTGAAGTTTTTAGCTAGAGAAATCGAATTATTACATTTGCCTTTGCCCCCGTTCAAGAACTAAAGAGAACCGTTTCATTTTTACAGTTCGGACAGCCGCGCCCCCTTTTTTGCGCATTGCCAAATTGTCCATTCGGCAGTGTCATACGATTCATACTCCCCCCACTCCCTATCACACTCTCTCTTTTTCTCTCTCACTCTTCATTGCGTTGCGCTTGTATAAGCGGCATATCAAATTCATGCCGAAATGACAAGTTTTTTCTTACACGACGTCGCTGTCGCTGCGCTGCCCGCGGCCGCTGCTTGTTTACGTTTACAGCTGGCAGGTCGCCTTTCGAACGAAGAGCGCTTATTAATCAAAAAGAAGAAGAAGAAGCAGAGGAGCAAGAGAGATCGAAACATAGCAGTAAACGAAATGTCAAATCTAGCGCTGTGGAATGTGGTCCGAGGAGCTGTCAATAATTAAGAGAGCGCGCAATCAATTTAAGAGCGCGCATTACGTTTAACGTAACGCACGCTCTTTGCGCGTTAAGTGCGCTGCGCATGGCAACAGCTGTTGTTGTTATATTTTGTGCCGTAAAATAATGTTTATTAATGAAGCACATGGCAAACAAGAACCATGGCAGAAAGTTTGCAGCTTTTGTGTACATTTTGTGTTTTCTTTTCGTTTAGCTATTTTTGTTTTTGTTTACAAAAGTGTCGCTTGACAAGCGGCCTCTCGATAAGCTTTGTGCGCAGCAAAGCTTTTTGCTGAATAAGCTCGAGTGCTGACAAAAAGCTCACTTTGAGAGCTTTTGCCGCTGCCTTTCAGCGCTGCCAACAGAAGCTAACGGAAAAGTTAGCAGCTGAAAAGCTCACGATTTAAATGAATGAGAAAACTTGGAAAATATGGATATGAA